GTAAAGGCGAAATTAGAGCATTTCTAATTAATCTTTTTTCCAATGACAATTAAAAATAATTTTATTTTTTATGATTAAAGTGGCATTGAAAACAAATATTTACACTTCCTACAGGCATTTCTTCCCAACAAAGTATGGATTAAATTTTTAATGGTGTTTCCAAAAATATAAAAAATCAACAATAATATTTTGATATTTTTTAAAAAGCAATTTCCAGTTCAGAAGAATTGATTATCTGGATTGGGTACAGGTTGATACCAAGGCTGGAGCATGAAATAGGTTGAGCACGAAACACCAGACGGTGGTTGAATAATTTATTATAAATAAATATATGCAGTAATGTATAATTTAAGTAAAACAAATTCGAACGTTTTGCTCAAAAATTAGAGGTTCATATTTTGAAATTTATTTGCTTATGTTGATCTTTTATTCGTTTTTTTTGTGGGGGAGGGGGAATAAGGTATGATTATAGATGCGTAAGTACCAATTTTGAGAGTATCAGATACAAATTGATAATAAAATAATTGAGTTTTAGTTAAAAAAAAAACTTATAAATTTTTTAAAATCAGATACATATCAAATTTACTTAATAGAAGGGATGAATAAATGATCGAGTTTGTCATTGGTTTTATCAAACTATTAACTCAAAATACAGACTTTATAATTTTGTAACTAAAGTAAATGGACATTTGATTTAAATCGAACAGAAAATTGCAAATATTTATTTTTAGAGGGAAAATTAATGGCATATTTAACATGCGTTAATTGTCGCCACTTTCAATGAAATTAAAAAAATAAAAATTATGAGTATACATATATAAATCTTCGGAATCATATAAGATATAACTAATGCTAATTCATAAGCTACAACTACATAATTTCTATAATTTTTTTTAAATTTTTTTTACATCTTTTGATAATTTAATCAGCTTTCAATCGAACACAAATACTTCAAATAATCACATTGTTCCCTTCGAATTGAAGCATAGGGCTTCTATCACAGCTTCCTATTGTTTTCAATTCACTTATTATCGTCCTGCTCCAAGCATTTTCAGGTCTTCCTCTTTTTCCATTGCCCCGGGGGTTAATATAAATTTTTTTTACTTTAAATCTTTCAGGTTAACGTAGAACATGACCAATTCATTTCCATTTACGTTTTTTTAGTTTCCAGTTCAATTGGTTTTTGTTTTGCTATCCTAAGGATTTCTGCGTTATGCATTTTATGGCAACGCTTGATACGTAAGATTCTTCTTAAGTTGTTGTTAATAAATACTTGAATTTTTTCCGTGATATTTTATTCTCTCAGATCCATAGAGTAGGACAGATTTAGCATTAGTATTGAAAATTCTAATTTTTGTTGAATTTGTTATATTTTTGTTTTTCCAGAAATTGAAAATAGCGTAACTGCTCCGGGTTTTGTTTAATCTGTTTAGCATGTTTTCATCGGTTCCTCCCTTGTTGTTATGCAATAATACTTCCAAGATAGGTTAAACTGTTTACCTTCTTCAGTTTGCTATTTTCTAAGAGTAATTTAATTGTTAAGGATAAATTTTCAAAACTGTAGTTTTATTTTGGTTGATAATATGCCCCATTTTCTTTGCCTCTATATTTAAAATATTTTTGTTTCTTAGCATATCTTGAGGAGTGTTGGTCATTAAACATAAGGCGTCTACAAAGCTGCAAAAATCAGCGAAAATAAAAAATGGAACGATCAAATCAAGGCACTCATTCTCAAGACCCACTGGCCACTGCGTGTGATTCACGTATAGAGTCGTGAGAGATAGTGTATATGGGGAAATTTCTTGATTTAGTTTGTTTTTTACTGAAATAATTTTTTATAACTTTAATATTAAATTCTTCGGTGGAAGGATTAAAAGCAATTAATAAATTATCAGTTTATATTATAGGTAATAAATTAATAGTTTATCAATAAACCCAGACAAATGAATAAGTAAGGAATAAAAAATAAATTAAAATAAAATATCTCTTTATTGCAAACATTTTAATCAATACGCTTGTTTTCATAAAAATTAAATTATTTAGCTCCAAACGATTTTTTTTAATAGAGGTTTTACAAGTGGTGTAAAAATGAAACTATTCTTTTAAAATAATGAATTGTTGACTATCCAGAACTCAGCTATTTTTTTTCTTCATTTATTTGTTTATTTTTTGAAATGATGGGATTTAATTTTAAGAGCAGAGATTGAGAACAAAAATAATTTTACTAAAAAGAAAAATTAAAGGATTAGAAACAAAGCATATCCTAATCTTACATGGCGCCATCTGTGCATTATAAAATGAATGACTGTTTAAATGGTTTCTGAGGAAAAATTATTTTATGTTATATGAATTTTTTTTTTTAATAAAAGCTGAAAAGGCAGTAAATTAGAGTTAAAATTATTTCAGGATTGAATCTGTATGAAAATTAATGGAATCAAAATTAATTCGAGTATTTTTAACTAAGAAGGATATCTTTCTTTTCAATTTAAAGGGGAAAGAAAAAAAACCTAGCAAGACGAGGTTTTAAAATAATTTTCCAAAAGAAACTAACATTGAATTAAAATTAAAATGCTTTGATTAATTAGAGACCTAAGTATACAGTGCTATTAAATTATTTTACGAAAATTTAAATAATTTTTTTTTTTACAATTCAATTTGGAGTTCCAACTTTTTTTTTTCTTAAAAATTCTTTTTTCGAACGTAAACTTTGAAACTAAAATATATGTAAAAATTTCAAAATTTAGCAAAATGTAATAATAAAAAAAATACATTAAACAAGTTTAAAATAAAAATACTCAAAGGACAAATAAAAACGCATATTTTACGAACGCTTACGATCTTGGAACATTCCGCTGCAAAATTTAATCACAGATTTTTTTTCGATTCGATATTATTTAAATTATGATTTTAGTTATTTTCTTCTTCTTTTTGTTCTAAATAAAATAGCTATATTTATTTTCTTCCTGAAGTTTTACTGACCATTAATAACTGCTAAAAATAAAATAAGTATTCTAAATTGTCTGTCAGACAGTGAAAAAAAAATTCAATTGAAAACTTTCTATTTTAATTATAATAGCTTTTACAACATAATTTTATAGTATAATAGTATAATATAAGGATTATATATTATTATAGTATAATATAATAATAATTAATAACTTTTGTACATTTAATTAAAAACTGTTTTATTTTAAATTAAAGTTAAGATGATATTTATATGGCGATGTCGAACATAATTCAAATGACTGTGTCGAATTTTTATCACAAAACGATTTTTAGATAAAGTTAAATCGATTGTTTCGGAGTTGAATTCATTGTATTTCATGAATGTATTTCATTGTAATACTTTTATATATTTGTTAGAATAACTTTTGACCACTACTGTCTAATTTAATTTCACCTAAGGGGGCGGGGAGAAAAAGAATTATACAATGAGAGAGTTTAGTCTCAAATGTTACTGAAATAAAAAAAAAGAAGAAAAAAATTGGAAAAATTAATTTTTTATAAATAACTTTTTATATAAATTTTAAGATCTCGTGACAAACATGTAAAATGAACCGACATATAATAGATCCTATAATAGTGCCATTTTTCTTTTATCTTAGAATAAAACACAAGAAATCCAATCATGGCACGGATTTTTTTAAAATGAATGATTCCATCTTTAAAAAATCTTATCACCAGGCCTTTTAGAAAATGTAGTTTATTTCATGTGTAAAATTGGTTTAAATTAGATTTTGATAAAAAAATTTCGTTAATAAAAATTTAAAAAACAAAACAAATTACATTTTTTAAATAAATTAACAATATTTCGAAATTACATAAATGCTTAAAATTTCTTAAAAAAATAATTAACATTAACAAGTATATTACTATCGATAGTAGTTAGAAATTAAACTGCATATCACACTGAATTAAATCATACAAATAAATTTTTGTTAAAATGACTGTACGGATCAAAAAATTTTAGTAAAACATAATAATTTTAGTTAGTTAGTACATTAACTAATTAAAGTGCGAAACAGGCAAAGATGTACAAAAGATAGGCGATATAATAACTTTAGAAACAATATTTGATGAAAATAAAACTTAATATGAATATTTAAATAAAAATAATTTCCTTGAAAATTTCACTTTTCTGTCGTCGTTAAAATTCAAATTAGAATATTTAAACGTTAAATCATATTTATAAATTATTCACGATGCCTTATAATTATAAAATTTATGAAAAATATAAATATATTGTAAAATAATATAATTATGTAATTCTTAAATATTTGAACTTCTTAAAATTACCATTATTATCTAAAATACAGGGAAGTTAAAAAAAATAATAAAACAGACTTTTTAAGCTAACTCTAAAATAAATTTTAAAAATTTAATTATTTTTTGTAAAAATTGGGAACTTATTCAGCTAGTTTATCAGGTTACGTCAAATCTACGCATATACACATCTTTCTGTTATATCAAATTCGTTTAACCAAATTATTTTATTTTAAGAAATAAGTAAGCAAAATATTAGTACATGTCTATCTATAAATCTAATAAAATACTGTTAAGTAACGTCAAATTCATGTATGGGAACAACGATGTGTTAGTATGCTTAGTTCCGTAGAATGTAAAGTGTAATGTCAGGGCAGCTGAACGCGGCTATACTGCGCTACATACGTTTTTAATAATAAATTCGAAAAAGAAATCAAATAGTGATTATCAGGAAAAGCAAAAGAAGAAAACGTTTTGCAGTTTTTTTTCTAAGTTGTAGGTTTTTCAGGGTTGTGTGACTTGATTTTACCCAAGTAAGGTAAATCCCCCCAGGATAAGGCATAATAACATATGTTGCTAATTGTTAACATAAGATACTTTGAAGTTACAGCTTATTTGCTTTTGATTTAATCAACGATCAGTAAATAATTATTGTTGTTTAGTTTGAACTCTTAGCAAAAGAAAATTGTTAAGTTTCGAGCTAGTTAAAAGTTTTAAATGGTAATAAATGTACCTACCACTATACTGAGAGTCGTACCCAGAATTCCAGGCTCTGTATTGTGCCTGTGTCACAAAAATTCCAGGGGGATCCTGTAATAATGGTACACCAGGAGATATCTCTACCCCAATTTTTGGTTTAAGCTCTTCGCGAATTGAGTCCGGTTGCATGCCTATATTACGTTTTTCAATGTGTCCAGTCTTAGGTGTTGGCAAGTATTTAGATTCTATCACTATTCGATGGGGTTTCTCATCTTCACCAGACGCCAGTATGAATAAATTATCTTAACACCAACTCAACTCAACTTTTAATTAATCTCAAATCCAGCGTGTTGCCAGTTGTTACGAAAGATGTCTTACTGATTGTTACCCAATCGTGTTAAGAACAATGGAACAAAAAATCGAAGAAAATTGTCGCCAACCTAAAGCAACTAGGATTTTTTCAGTGTTTTTCTAGTTTTTTTTTGTTCTAGTTCTTTATGTTTTTGTGACGCAAGAGTTCGAATGTTATGCTTGTTTTGGGGGCTATTTTTGTAAACAGAGAAAACCCAAGAGTGAGTCAACTAGGTTTCCCTTTTTTTGTGTGTGTGCCGTCAGCCATCATTAATGGAGTAGGAGAAAAGTTTTCGTTTGTTCTTTCGATCTTTCTTTCGTTTGCTCCTCCGCCTCACAATGCGGAAGAATTCTATTTTTAGCCAGAAAAGAGAGCTATTGTCTTACGAACATTCTCTTTTTCATCAGGTAAGAAAGGTCAGCGTTCCCCTATAACAATGTAGTAGAAGCTTTTCAAATGTCACCAACTTTAATGAGATTTTCCAAGAAAATGTCTTTTAAGAATAACTTTGTATTGTTGCTGGAAAGTATTTTTTTTTAGTAACACGATATCTTTTTGTGGAAATTGAATAAAAATTTTTAAAATTTTGCTGATTTAAAGTTTTAAAATTTGAAACCAACTAGGAAAATTTCGATTTATTTTAATTTGTCAAGTTGGATACTTTACAAAGCTGTGCAATAGTAATATTTTAAATTTTTATTGTTTTTATCTAACGATTGCGTTAATAGCTTGAATAATCATTAATTATACCGAGAGAGAAAATATGGTCGAAATCACCAGAATGTGGTAAAATTTGCCGTGTTTCTAGCTCTATGGAAGCATCAAAAATATCGGTTATTTTCACCGAAGTGCTTTGGCAATGATTTTGATCAAATTCACGAAAAATATGGTTCCGAAATGTGTGATATAAACTGGTAGATGTTGTTAAAATTGGTAATTTTATCATGATATGATAGAGAAGTCATTATTCGGGTAAATTTACTTTTCAATTTTGCATTTTTTACTAAATGTGTGTTTATGAGGACTATAATTTTGAAAACCAGAACTGAAAAATTATCAAATGAAAGGTTTTAATATCATATTTTAGTTTTTTTGTTGTCAAAATTATGATTTTTATTTAACCAGAATGTCATTACCATAGAGTACAATAATTTTACCAGAATTACTTTCTACGTGTAGTTAAAAGGAATCATCTTGTTAGAAAACCCACTTATTCAGTTTTTTTTTCTTAATTTTTAACATACAGCCTCTGTTACAGGCATTGTTCCATGTAGTGTTTTTTTAAAATGAAGTTATTATTGCAATAACTTCAGTTACAGTTTATTTTAACTATTTATCGCGTTTAACAGCCCATTCATATTGTATTTACCAATGCTAATTTTCAATGTCGTAGCATTACAATTTTGGACCCAACCCAGAGCACAAAGAAACTTCTGGATCAAGCATATGAGCAAACTAGTCTTTGATAACACATTTTGACAAATCTAAGTTGCCTTTGTGTTATGCGGAGAGGAAACCCACGAAAACCGACTACAGTTAGCCTGACAAGGGGATTTGAACACATGATGTGTCTCTCGATTGGGATGTTTTACATCTGCATTACTAGAGTCAGTGCGAACCGGTAGAAGTATATAAATTGATCAGCCCTAGTCGGTACTCGAACCAGGTTCCTCTGAGCCCTCCCGCTTCAATTTCTGTTATTTGTTTTTAGAAACAATTTTTGCTTGAAGTTAAGAAAAAAGTCTAAATACTTCGTAATTATATATGGGTAGGCAGATATGGATATGGGTAGTTCATAGATATGGGTAGTTCATAGATATGGGTAGTTCAAACGTATAAAATAGTTTTCCTATAAAATGATACTAATTTTATTAAAAAAAAGGTGAGTTAATCTTTAATAATATCGGTGAGAAATTAAAAAATTGGGTGAACCAAATACATTGAAAGGTTTAGATATCATAAGTATAAGTGCTTTTATATCCATCTTTTAAAAATAGACTTCTTTTGAAGATAAGTCCTAAATATACTAAGTAGCTTAACATTATCGATCTTACAATAAATTCAAAATTACGATTTTAACTTAATTATATTCGTTACATTTTTATATTCATTTTAAAAACACGACCATATAGCCACTTGATACTGGATCTGTAAAATCCATGTCGAATAGACTTGCAGTAGAATTTATGTCGAACGAATCGTTTTTTTCTTATTTTTCTTTCTTTTTTTTTTGTTCAACACTCTTATAAAGTTGTAGAGCAAACATCAAAAAATATTGTTGGTCTTGGTTCGAAAATTCATAATGTTGTATAATTGAAATGCATTTGCATTTTTAATAAAAACAACGCTTAGTCATTTAACTCTCTGTGGCTTTATGTCTACTTAAGATCACCAAACTTTTCAATAGTTCCATGTCTGCTCTTAGCCATCACAGCAAAGAATCAGTTATCTTAATAATACCGTACATTGCAAAATACTTAATTATTACTGTTAATTTTTACTTTGTAATTAATTATTGTAAAAAATTCCGGATCAAATTACGGTGCCGGTATTTCTTATTGTAAAATCCTTTTTCACCGGAATATGTTGCGGAAAAAAATTCTGATTCACAGTAATTTTTACAGTAATTTTTACAGTAATATTTACCTTAAAATACCTAAATCACTCTAATTTAATATTACTGTAAAGTTTACGGTATAATATTTTACGTCAAAATGGATTTTATGGTAAAATTGGTTATACGGATGATGCACCCGAAGTGCTGATACTGTATACCATAATTTGATCCGGAATTTTTTACATAGTAGGCTAAAAATATAAAATATGATTAATTGAAAATAATGAAGATTCAGTAAGAATTGTGAAAACAATACTATTTTGGGAAGAAAAGAATCTAAAATTAACTCCAAAAAATATAATTACATATAATGAACAATCTGTAAGAAAAAAATTTGTAACGAAATCCAATTCTAACAAAAATATTCTTTTTAATAAAATTGAAACCTCTAGATTTTCCGCATCCAGAGTTATGCAAGTTACATTTTATGTAAGTTACATTTGATAAGTTCTTCTCTTCTCTTCTATGTTTTAAGTTAATCTCCAATTGAGAAAACCTACAGGATGAATTCTCCATAATTTAATTTTAATAACGTTTTTTTATACTATCTGTAGAAAAAAAATTGTTTAGGGCATGATATTATTATTTAGGGTCTATTCTGAAGAGGGATTATTCCAACATCTAATGTACAACAACTAATCATTAGACTCGTGACTGAATTTCTCTTGATATTAAAAAATTGTGATGGCAGCTTTTGTTTTGGGTGTTAAACTTAGCGTAACATTTTGTTTGGATGTGCAAGAACTATAAGAATCAGAAACTTAAAATTTAGAAGGCTCATAGAAAAGTGTACAGAGATTAGGGATGAAATAAAAAAAAAATTAACATTCGATAATTAGTTATTATTAATTGCTAAACTTGTTTGCAAGATAACAAACAAAATCGAAAGCTATTACAATTTTTAAGTGAGATTTTGTTCTAATTTGTTTTGCTTTTTGTTACATTTTCTTTTGCTTCTCAAAATCTATTAGATTTAGAAAGTTAAAATTACGATGGTTAGTAGAAAAATATATGAAGAGTTCAGTGAAATAAAAAAACATTGCTATTCGATTATTGTTTCGAGAATTATCAACTGTTAAATTTGCAGTAAAAAACACCTTGTTGGTCGATCTACTGTCCGCTGCACTGAGTTAAAATTGCAAAAACAATAAGTAGAGTTAAATTGCAACAACTGAGTTAATATTTGATGTGTTGACATATTTATAAACTTTTTAATTATGAATTTAACGAGAGTTTTTTTTTTCGAAATTCTTATTTGTACGAAAGTTATATCAATTTTAATTATTTATATGCCATTTTTCTTTAAATAATATTTAATTGTCACGGAGAAGAAAAATTACGTGAATCTCGTGATTTTCATTTTATAAACTCGCTCTTTAATTGATGTCGAAATAAAGAAATAAAGAATAATTAAATAAAAAATAACTAAATAAAAAATAACTAAATAAGAAATAAAATAGATCAGATCTTCACCGGTTATATTGAAACTTTTGAAATTATAGTGACAGAAGACAGATAAAAACTGTTTCCAATGTTAACTATTTTAAGATTATTATATCATGTATTTTGTTAACGAGTAAAATTACTTCACATTTACTACCTCTTAATGCGGCGCATATTCTGCAGACCAAAGTTTAAATTTTGCTCCAAGTACAGCTGATTATTTTTCTAATCCATCTAGCCTTCCATTTCGTTAATATTACATATTAAACGAAATGTACTTACATGAAACTGTAACAATTATATATATTTTAAACAAAATGATCCTTTTTTAACGAATTTTAAGAATAAAAAGCTTTTAAGAAGATCAAGGGTGAAGAACGATTTACGCACATGAAAACTCATTCTGAAGAAAAACGAATTTAATCATGGGAAGGATTTGTTTGTCCTCAGCACGGCTTATCTTCACTGTCTAATAACTCTCGGGAGGAGAGGCAATTTTCCATGTTATTTATTTGGCAAGACTTAATGATCTTCACAATACAACAGATGGCAATTCAATCATAATTTTTGTAAAAAATGGATATAAACCGCTCTTTCCTTTTGATCTTCAATGGGGAATGAGAAACAACCTCGGGGGTTGATGAGCGAAGAGAACAGGGGCGAATCCTTCTTATGCGTAAAAATAGGTGTGTGTTCTACTTAGCTATAATAATGGGTGTGTTCTACTCAGCTATAATAATGTGTGTGTTCTACTTACCTAT